CAGTAACGATCTTCTTATAACTCACAATCAGTATATCACGTGAACTAGTATATGATAACATCAAACCACTTTATTTAAAGGAAAGTCCGTCGACCCACCATCCTGTACAAGTAATTCAATCTCCAATTAACGAGTAAACTAGTCTTTACTTATTTGTTTTACACACGTATTATTATCTTAATACTATAACAATAATATTGACTAACTATTACTCAAGCACACATTCATATATATTTTCAATTCATTGCAATAAATACTGTATAATTGAGCTTAATTAAGAAGATGCTAAATTATTATAACGATAGAATACAAAGAATCTTATCAAGCAAAAATGTATATTTTCAAAAACTTACCAAAATAACAAGAATTGAGAAAAATGATATTTTAAGACTTTATTGTACTACACTACTTATTTTCATATGTCAAAATAAATTTTTGGATAGATAAAAATCACTTTATTTTTAAAATAAATAGATTAAAAATCTTAAATAAATACTCATAATCATGATCTATATAACATACAAAAACTAACGCAATCAAAGTTTTATCAATACAAAATTATTCATATTTTTTTATAATGAAAACACAAATTTGATAAAAAAATGTCAAAATACAAAATATTTGAAATCGAAAATAGGATAAAAGTTCTTTACACCGAGACGAGCAAAGTTTTTAACTAGCCCGATGGATGAAAATCGCATAGTGGCTTTCAAATCCAAGCTTTTTCTTTTCTCTCTTACCTCTTTTCTCTCCTTTTCTGTCTCACACGTACGTCTTTGTTGCCAAAATGAATTAAGGGAAAAGGATTTAAAAATATATATATTATTAATGATTTTAGATATTTTAATATAATATTTAATTTAATTAATTTTTAGTATAAAAATTCAAATAAATTATTTTAGATTTCAAAAACATAAAAAAATAAATTCATTAAATTTAAAAAATATCAATAAAATCAATTTACAAAATGAAACCTGACAGATCTGCAAAATTCTCAGATGTACTGATGGATACCAATTCCTTAAAGATTTTTGCTAGTGCTACAAAATTACAAAATAAATCTTGTAGGTAAAATTTTAATTCAAAATACTATGGCAAAAGACGATTTGAATTTGAAGTAATATGACTCTAGAAAAAATTGGAAAAAGTCAAAATATGGGCAATTATAGGAATTTCACCATAGTTCGCCGGGAGATATGAGGTCAGAAGGACCATAATTGCCGATTGACAGTGTTAGAAAGACTTGTTGTATGGCGACAAAGGTAGGTTCAATATTTTGGCACGACAACCGAGAACCCATTCCCGGACTCCGGACCCGAAAAATTCAGGTTGGCCCGACCGATTTCAAAACGGGCCGGGGTTCTGATTTCAGAAATCGACCCGTTTGAAAAATGAGTTGGGTTCGGGTTGACACCGAATGGTTGCCAGGTCAACCGCGAACCCGTTTTTAACGTTAACCCGTTGACCAAGCCGACCCGATTTGTCGCGCGACCACGCCCTCGCTGCCGTGTGAAAAACGGATGTGACCACGCTCCGCTGCGGCGCGACCCTGCCCCGTTGTCCGCCGACCCGCTGCGCCGCGACCTGGCCCCGCGCGACGGACACCCGCTGCCAGCGCGACCCGGAACCAAAACCCGTGCTGCACGCGACCTCAAGCGCGACCGTTCCCGCCGATCCAGCGAGACCCGCGCCCGCCGATCACTTGCCCCTTTTCGACCAAGCTCGCCCCGCGCGACCGCTCCGCAACTAATGCCGCCCACACTCGCCCAGCGCGACCAGCTTTCCCGAGTCAGGGTCGGAGTCCGGTTCGCAATTTCGACCGATTTCACACTAACCAGGTCGAGGTTATGGTTTTGACCTGTTTGAACCCGAAGCAGCTTCCGAGTCGACCGACGGCTTTGGTACGGTGTGGACCCTCCCGAATTGAGACCCCTAGGAACACCAATGTCGGAATGACTGTAGTAACAAGCAACGAAGAGCAGAAGGCAGCTAGTTAGGAGCGACAAGAGGTTAGAATGACCGATTACTACTACGGATGACGGAGGTCAAGACTATTAATCTACGCCACAGGACGGTCAAAAGGACGATAGCAAAAGGTGATGGAAGTTAGAAAGACACGTTGATCTACCGACAAAGTTCAGAAGACCCATAGTCATCCGGGCAACAAAGAGGTCAAAACCAAGGACCTTTTAATCAGGGGCCAAAAAAGTTTGATTATAATATTATTCTATTTAACCATATATTGTAATTACATGGGAGAAACTAGCCTAATTTTTAGAAGGGGACAAATTCTAAAAGTAAAATTGTTACTATGAGTACTAGATACACTTAAAATTATATATAGTATATATTCTTTTGTGGGGGGGATGCGGGGGGGAGGGGGGGGAGGGGGGGTGGCGGAAAGGCATGCAATTACCCCTCTGGCTGTTAAGGTGGATCCCCTCTAACTGTAGTGTTATATTGCTATATGCAATTTTGATGAATGGAAATGAAAGAGAATTTAATAGATAAGTTATTTTCAGTATATTATATGTTATTAGTAGTTATATGATATATTATTCAATCATTGTTGATATTGGAACGAAAAATCTGAAACATTTTTAGGAGCTTAGACTTGGTTTTTGCCTGTTTAAAAACTAATCGATAGGACTGTCTGTCTGTGATAGATATCGAGTTCAGATTTGTGATTTATATGTTTACTTAAATTTTTAAATACTCTTCCTCCAAGAAAGGGCATCAATTATATTATTCACAGCTATTAGTAGAATCATTTTATTTGTGTCCGAGAACCTTTTTGTTTTTCCTTTTTCTGAGTTTTAACATTTAATAAGTATGTATGTTTTCTTTATAATTTTGTAAATCTTGTACTATCTTATTTAATTTGATTGTTTAGACTTCATATAAATTATTAAGATAATAAATGCTCATAATTTTAATTACTATAAATATTTTCTTTATATATATATATATATATATATATATACAACTATATTACCACGTTGGCTCTTATAACATTCAGTTTTTAGTTGAGTGGTTGCATTGTATCCTAACTTGAGGGGAACAATCACTTTAATGAAATTTTTTGGAAAATATATAGTGATGCAAAATTTATGTTTTAAAAAAGGAATTTTAAAATCAAACTGGATGAATAAGCATCAGAAATACAATCTCAACTATCATCCATGAATCAAATAATGCAAAATTTTTCTTTCAGTATATTACATCATTACGACAGCTCTTTTATTTTAATTTTGTGTCTGTCTATTAAAGTTTTGTTTGGGGGCCATCTTTTTACTACTTCTATAAAATAGTTTTAATATTAAAAATTAATTTTTTTTAAAAAAAATTACTTTAACAAGGCAATAACAAGACTTCCCCAACAAGAAAAATTTTATGCGGTGACAGAGTCTTGAAGACGAATCGGACGCGCCACTGTCATCCATACACAACAAAAATTGGTGACTTTTGGTATGTCCTAAATTCGACTCTAGATATCACGTAATAATTTCTTCTCGAAGCCTAAATAAAGTGCTAATTTGGGGAGAATTATTTTGTGGATACACCGGAGTTCCGGATACTATCAAAACGCACCACATCACTCAGAACACAGTGGTACTATCACTGTAACTGATAAAACCATGACTTGGCGTTTCTGTTTGGTCTCTGGATCGTCCGTGTTCCGCACCAGAATAATTTTTACAAATTTGGTGGGGCATTCAGCATACTATACTTGGAAGGCGAGACAAGCAGGTCGGGTCATCTTAATAAATACAGTACACTAATACCTTTCTCCGCCTTCCTGGTTTTTTTTCTTTCTTTTTACAGTGCAAAAAAATTAGTACAAAAGCTTCGCTCTGTCGCTAATCTATGCTGCAAAGTTTGCCAAACTAACGAAAAAAAAAAAAAGACACACAATGGGGCGACTAACAAACATTTTTACAAAAGTAGGTATGCGCAACTAGCAACATAACAGACCTATAAGACCAACATCATTAGAAAATACAAAATTTATTACCATCTAATTGAGATATATTTATTATTAAAAATATTTAAAATTTTAAAACTAGTATAATATAAAATTATATATGTATATATACATCAAAACTATCAACATCAAATATTTATCCCAAATATGAAGCATGGTCGGCTACATTGAATTTTTTTTCAAATATGTTTTATTTAGAGTTTAATAATGATCATTCATCTGAACTCCAAATCTTATATGAGAAAAATTAGAATTATGTTATATAAGTTGACACTAAATATAAAACTCTAATAACAACTTGACATATAACCTATTAAAATACACATTCTCATTTTAAAATCTAATAAAATATTATCATTTTTAATACTTTTCTAATCAAATCTTTCAACTATATTTTTATCTATTTAACTTATATATATATATAGTATTATATATATAATATATATATATATATATATATCTATTAACTAAAAAATTAATAATATTAAATTTATTAAACAATTTGTTTACCATGATATTCTTACTAGTTTTTTTCTCAAGAAATCTTTCAGCGAATTATTCTTTTAAACAGAGGCGGACTTCAGTGGGTCAACAACAATTATGTTATATATATATTAAGTTTTATTTAGAACAGTCTTAGATCTTTTTTTTATGGTTTTTTAAAATAAATTTTAAATACTAACAAATTTTTAAAATTTAAAACCTTTTTCTATTTAAAAAATTATTTTAAGAAGTCGTTAATAATGCTGTCTCCAAATCAAGCTTAAAGCTGAATGCTCAAAATCAAGAGGTAATTATCTATTAAATTTTATTTTGGAGGATGATTTTAACTGATTTTTGATAGTTAATATTTTAGTAAAAAAAAGTAATTTTATATTAAAAATTTATTTTAAAAAACAGTAATAAAACTGTCACAGAGGAAACCTAAATCTTAACCGCTTCGCTGGCTATTATTATCTCTATATTAATACTCCGGAAGCTGTTTACTCCCTTAGGTTCTTTCTCTTGTCTCTGCTTCTTCTCGTCAGTTCTCTCTTTCTCTCTACTTTTTCTTCCCAAAGCTCCTAAGATCTCTTCATGGCAGACACCGGCTCCTTCACCGATTACTTGGAGCTGAGACCGGACAAGGCTGGGCTGCTTGATCTTCTCCATGTGTTGTATTCTGGAAACGTTGATGAGAATGAGTCCATGTTTGGGCCGCCGGGGACGGAGATCGCCGGAATGAGGCGGAGATGGGATATCTTTATCTCCCTTCTCGCGCAGAGGAGTCTGCTCCTTTTAAGCTCTCCTATGGCTCGGTTCGGGTCGGCCGTCGGCTTTTGGGGAAATCTGGTTCCCGACAATGGCGGCTTGTTGTCTCTGTTTGCAAATTTTATGAGAGGTAAGTTTCTGATCAGTTCTTCGTAGCAGAGATCATAACTTTGTTAATTAATCAGAGAAAAAAATAAAATAAAAATATTATCTCACCCTATTAAATCAAGGCATATCCATTATAGAAGAGTATAAAAATATTTTAAAGAAGAAATTCAAGTGAGTACTGTGAAGTTATATAATATTAACCAGCAAGAAATTTCCTTTAATTATCATAATAATTCGATGGTAAAGTTCTCTAATTATAATTAACCACCTATTTTATTTTAGATGATTTAAATTATTTCTTAAAATCAAAATAATTTAAAAAAATGAAATCAATACCAATCGCTCAAAAAATAATGAAATGATTGAAATTGAAGAACTTTACAATTTAAGTATTATAATATATAATTGTAGAGGATCCTAAGCCGATTTTACCTTTTTTAGTATTTCTTTATTTAGAAGATTTCTATTATAATTGCTTTAAAGTAAGGAAATTATAGTATTTTGGCATGAAAAACAAAATTATCTGAGTATTTAAAAAATTTGTAGATCTATTTTGAATGAAGTATAATTCAAGAATAATCGATTAAAATTTAAACTATATTAATTTTTAAATAAATTTGACAAATTTAAAAATCATTTTAATAAAAAAATGTATCATAATTTTTTGTGCATTTTCTTTTCTTTTTGTTATTGGATAAGGGTGGGTGTAAGTGGGTGAAATATTCTGTGCATACGTGGACGCATTTAAAGACCAACCAAAATGTGCCACATCACTCCTGCTCGGTACCCAACTCGGTACCGTTGATGTGGTGCATTCTGGTTGATCTTCGGACGATGAACTGCGTTCCACATCCGCACAAAATAATCTCTCATGTAAGTGAGCCAATTTCTTTATTTAGAAGCTTTCTATTATAATTGCTTTAACTCCAACATATTAGCTCATAAGTGGACTCTTTTAAAAATGTTAATATAAAATATATTTAAAGCATACTAATATGAATTATACATATATATACACTTTTTTTTAGCGGAAATTCAGAATGCACGAAATTATACATATATATCAATAATTTAATATTTTTGCATATAACCGACCCCACGTAGTGGGATAAAGACTTTATATTGTTGCGGATAATTTCCTGCAACCTTCAAATCAATTCGACTGTGATGGCTTTTGGACGCCGCAATCAATATGGTGAAACATTGCCGTAGTTTTCTTTCTTTCGTCACACGCGAAAGATGGCTTCGAAGTCCTTATTTAACAGTAATTTTCTTGATAATTAGGCCTGGAAAATATTTAGATTAAATTAAGATAAATGTTCGTTTTGGACATTTTATAAAAGACCTCTTTATTAAATAGAATTTACAAAGGAGCACCAAATTTTAAATTTTTTTAAAAAGAATAAATGTCTTTAACAGCTGTGATTTCCATATCAGGTGATTCTCGGTAGTAAGTTGTACAGTGACCATCGACTTCACGTTAGACATGAAGAACTTTAGTTGCTGAGGAATGACTGTGTCTCTGGAAGCTGTGTTCGAGCCCGAGTCTTCCATCTGCGTTGAGGAAGATGACGCAGCCATTGATACGGAGGAAGCAGGGGTTGGAACCTACAGCTCTGATACCATGAAACGTGAACTACATCAGAGTAAAGATGGTTAGCTTAACAAATGTAAAGTTGAGAAACAGAGGAGGCAAAGAAGCTATAGCATTGCACTTCATCTTCAAGCTTTTCTTACACCCTCCAGCCGCTGCTACAGTACTCTAAATAAATAGCAGGGTTAGTTACAAAAGGTGTGGTTAGGATTGTTTGATCAGAGATCACACGGTGAGAAGGAAAAAGGTGCTGCTGCCATAACAGAGGTAGTGAAGCACGATCCTATAAGTGAGCCGGCTGATCCGACCACTTATCAAGTCTCCTTATCATGCTCCTCTACGTTCGGTTCTAGGCAAAAAAAGCGCAATACCGAGTACCGAGTTGTACCGAGTTTTTCAAAAAAACTCGGTATTGCGCTGTTTTGGTCTAAAACCGAACGTAGAGGAGCGTACGTTCACTAGATGTAATAAAAGTTCTCATTTCTCTCTCCCCATCTCTCTCTCTACTCTCCGTGGCTCTCTCTCATGTCATTTCTCTCCCCATCTCTCTCTCTACTATACTCTCGTCTCTCCTCCATCATCTCCTCGTTCTCTCTATTTCCCCGGATTAATTATTATGTGTGGGCGCCGAATGCTGTTTGGAGACCAATCATAATGCGTCACGTCACCCCTGTGTTCGGTATCGCTGACGTGGCGCATTATGATTGGTCTCTGGACAGTATTCTGCGTCCGATCTCCGCTCAAAATAATCTATCCTCTCCTTGCCATCCCTCTTTCGCTCTCTCCCATCACCTTTCTCTCAAAATGAGTCAGGCACACTTTCCGTGTATTCATAACTCACCAAAATATTTGGTACATTCATAACTCTGTTAAATAACTTGGCACATTCTAAATGCAGCATATTTGTTTCTTTTATTTATTTATTTTGGGAGTCATATATTAACAAGAAACGATAGAGAAAAATGATTCATGTAGCCAATCCCACATAGTGGGATAAAAGCTTGTTATTATTGCTGTTGTATGTCTCCTTTTGCTGATTTCACCTATTTTAAAATAATTTGATTTAATCTGAGATGAATTAAATATATAATTTTAATTAAAATTTACATTTTTTAAATATTCTAATTTTAATTTAATCAACTTAAAAAATACATTACAACATTCTTACATAGCATTTTCAATCTTATAATGACGATTAAAAATTAACAAAGGACAATTTAATGAGTACCATAATGGTCCCTTAAATGACTTTGAATTATCCTCGCGGCCTTAGCCGGATTTACATTTAAATTTTCCTTAATAACAACATCCCAAAAGTCTAAATAGACTAATTTTTAAATAAATTTTCTTATGATGAGTTTGAATATGTCAGATTTATTTACATAGATATTAATGTTGTCTAAAATAAATTAAATTATATTTTAAAGTCCAATTCGATTTAATTTAAATTAGAATATTATGATATAATTTTTTAATTAATTAATCATTCCATTTTTGTTTTTCGGACTATTATTATTAAAACAAAAATTGAAAATTAAAATACGATAAACCCTTTATCTATAATAATTTTTTTTTTCCAAAATATATAAAAGGGCTTCTTTTTGAAGAGTTTTCTTTAAAGATTTTTTAGCGAATTAAGAAAAACTCACACACACTATTTTTTTGGACATTTAGGTCAATTAAGGCAGATTCATACACACATCGCATAAACAATACTCGAACCCATGACCTCTTAGTTGGTAGCCTAAGCTCCCAACTAACAGATCAAGGCGAGTTGTGTAACTCACACACACCACATATGCAACCTTCTTTGTTGATAGCAAAATTTCTTAACTAACAGATCAATGTGAGCTATGTGATATAATTTTTCATATACATAGCTCATCTTTGCCTGTTAGTTGGAAGATTTCATTACCAACCAAGAGGTCTTGACTTTGAATCCTACATATATGATGTGTGTGTGAGTTTGCCTTAATTGGCCTAAATATCCCAATAAAAATTCATATATCAAGCATCGTTTCACAATTAATTGAACTTGGTCATATATTGATACTGAATTGGCACTTCTGTTGTTTAATTAGGTGAAGTCCAAATGCCAGAAAAAGGATCAGATACGTACAGATCCGCCATTGGGCTTATTGATACAAGAGTAAAGCTAGATAAGAGTATCAAGAGTGGCGACCCACGATACCAAGCAGCACTTGCTATAATGGCCGCCAAACTATCCTACGAGAACGAGCGCTTCATTAAAAGTACGATAAAAAATCAATGGAAGGTAATTTGATTCATTTATTTATTTGATATGAGAAATTATTTTAAGTTGTGAAATGTAAATTGTGTTATATGTATTTTGTTAAAATAATAATAATAATAATAATTTGACATAATTTATGAAAAGATGAGTTTGAATGTTCTTAAACTTATGCTGAGATATATATATATATATATATATATATATATATATACACGCAAAAAGAAACAAAAAGAAACACATTTTATATATATGGGCAAAAAGAAACAAAAAGAAACACATTTTTGCGGTTGTAAATAATATGACGTCAATATTGAAGTCGCACTCTTCACAAAAATCTTTTTTTTTGCGCATAAATGAAGATGAGAAAGAATATGTACGGAATATTCTTTATTTGTGTTGAAATGAAGTTCGGTTAGAGATAGAAATGAGGAGTTTGATTGGAGATGCCCTTAATCTCAATACAAATTCAATAGCAATCATGCTCATTTTGAAGTAAATTATGTTACACATCTATTTACCCTGTATTTTTTATTATATTTCATTAGTATTTGATTCTTTGGAAATAATAGATTTAGCATCTTTGAATTGCAGATGGAGTTCTTGGCATACTACAACTGCTGGAATGGTAAGCTTTTGGATGATCATACTGAGTGAACACAACACAAATAGGGGTCAAAGAAGACAGAAATGTTTCATTTAAATAAAATAAAGGCCCATTTTGTTGCAACATATAAAGCATGCTAACAAAATAATTAAAAACTTTGATCAATTCATCATTTAATTAGATAGATGATGGTAATTAGCAACCTAGATGAATTTAAAACTTTGAATTCTTTCAAATATAATAATTTTAAAAATTCACACATAGAGCAAGTAGATTGACTTAGGATTTGTGTGGGATAATTTTCCTACTGTTTTGTTTTTCATATTGTTATCGTAGATCTGTTTGACTAATATTTCTCCCTGTTTTTAAGAAATTATATGCTAAAAAGCAGATTTTAAAGTAATTAATTTCGGGATGATAACTTTAAAACAATCTTTATGAATGGTGAAGCAGCCTTGAACAAACTCGTAGTACCTAAGTAAAATAGTATTGACAAGTGGCACAAATTTATTATTGAAACATCTTACTAATTTCATTAGTAGAAAAAATCATTATGAAATAAATGAATGATGCCGTACTATCCAAAAAATATATATTTTTGAAAATGATCCAAAAAAAAAAAATTTTCTAAATGTACATAATATATTTTTAAGTTTGATATAGGCAATATAAATATCATGTATGAAGCTCATCTAGATCTATTGATTGGGAGCTTTGACTACCGACCAAGAGGTTTTGGTTCGAGTCTTGTATATGTGATGTATATGCATATGAATTTGACTTAATTGATCTAAATGTTCCCCCACCCGGCGTAACTAAGCACATCATTAATGTACAAAAATCCATAATTTTTTTTTTAAAATTTTTGGGGAGTGTAGGTGGCTCTTATATTCTAAAGATATAGCATATATGAATAAAATTGATTTTCTCTCTCTTCTTTCTTTATCTACCTCTTAATATAAAAACAAAATTTTTGAGGGGTTGGTCATTATTATTGATACATCATCAAAAAGTTATCTTGATCAGGCATGAATCTCGAGATAAAATCAAGTTGGAAACTTTCAAAATTAAAATTGGGACCATCCGAATTCCGATTTCAACAAACTTGCAGTCAAACTAAACGTCTTGAAAATACGAATCCAACAACATCAAATTGGACTTAATCCGAGCCCAAATAGATCCAAATCAAAGACCCAAAATACTATTGAAAGGTTCAAACCACAATTTAGATTAACAAACGGGTTCCAAACATGAACAATACATTCATATAATTGCAGAATAACAATGATGGAACTGTAATATTGCCCTACAAAGTTTTATTTAATTGACCTGGATTTTTTAATATTTTTTTTTCGGGCAAGCATAGTCTCAATCTCCGTTTAAAAAACAAAAAAAGCAAAAATTCCATGTGACATAGAAGCCTTTCTTGAACAATTCACATAGATTTTCTCCATAATTTTATTTCAGATTACCAGGAGGACTTCACCACCCAAGCCTTCATCATGCGCGACAAAACCAACAGCCCCGCCGATCTCATTGTGGTCGCCTTCCGCGGCACCGAACCCTTCGACGCCACCCAGTGGTGCACCGACATCGACTTCTCATGGTACGAAATCCCCCATGTCGGCAAGATCCACGGCGGCTTCATCAAAGCCTTAGGCCTCCAAAAGAACGGCAGCTTGCCGGAAAAGCTCGACGCTCACTCCAATAACCAGAAGCCATACGCCTACTACGTCGTGCGCGAGAAGCTTCGCGATGAGCTGCGGCGCAATGAGAACGCGAGGTACGTTGTGACGGGGCACAGCTTAGGCGGTGCTCTGGCAGTTCTGTTTCCGTTGGTGCTCGCGCTTCACGGTGAGGATTTGTTGCTGGAGAGGTTGGAGGGGGTTTACACGTTCGGGCAGCCGAGGGTTGGGGACGAAAAGCTCGGAGAGTTTGCAGAGAAGTATTTGGGTGATGCGGAGGGGAGGAGGAGATACAGTAGGTTTGTGTATTGCAATGATTTGGTGCCGAGGTTGCCTTATGATGATTCGACGCTCTTGTTCAAGCATTTCGGCAAGTGTCTCTACTACAATAGCTTCTATAGAGGAACGGTGAGCTTCAATATCTTAATTCTGAAACTAAATTCTTTTAAATTATAACTAAGGCTTCATTTGGGATCGCTTTCATATTATTTTTTTATTAAAAAAATTGTACTTAAAAAACTATTTTAGAAAGTAAGAAGAAAGTAATCTCAAACGAAGCCTAAAACTTTAATGTTAGCTTGATTGAGCCTGCTGAAATCAAGCAAATAATTTCATTTTGCCTACAACAAAGTGAACCAAGTAACCAATTAATAAACATTATAACAGCCTTGCCAGCTCCATAGTCCCGCATAAGCTACCACAAAGCTAAGTTCAAGCTGTAATATGTTAACATGTTCTAGTTCAACTAATGGTTGCTAGCTAGCTTGGTTTAGAGCTGTAAGTAACTTATGTTGGTTGCTGCAATGAAATTTGTTTGAATGATTTAGGGGATGTTTGGTAGCACCCAGAGTTTCATTTAAGTAGGATTTCGTAAATCCTCTAAACCCGGATTTACGAAATTCTGAGGTGGTTAAAATTCATGATAAATCCTTTTAAATCATGTGTGACTGTTTGGCTTTAAAGCGTTAAATCTTGAAAAGAGCGGACTTTTCTTCTCTCTCGCTCCAATAGAGCGTTAAATCTGCTAAATAAAATCATATCAGAAATTCGGGATTTACCAAAAAAGGGATAATTTTCCGTCTACCATAGCTTTCACTTGCCGTGAGTTTTGGTTTTGCATTTTAGGTCGTTTGGCTTGATTTCGCTCAATTCCGGCCTAAATCCTGCTACCAAATATCCCCTTAATGTTTTAACTACCGGGTTGTTTACTTGGATGGTATTTAGTATAGTTTGAATAATATTGCAGTGAGTTTTCGTGGAGAATAATTTATGTTGTGCTCTATATGATGCAGGTGAAGGATGAAGAGCCAAATAAAAACTACTTTTCAGTGTTCACTGTGATTCCCAAATATTTTAATGCAATGTGGGAACTGGTTCGAGGATTTTTTATTGGATTTATTGAAGGGTCAGATTACAGTGAAGGATGGACTTTGCGGTTGCTGAGGTTGTTTGGGCTGATAGTACCAGGATTACCACCTCATTCTCCACAGGATTATGTCAACTGTACAAGACTGGGAAATTATCTGCCCTTAGATACTGATAAACATGAAATTAAGCTAGATTAGATGGATGATTATAAGATATATATTTACTTGGGCGCTTAGTTTGAATGTAGGGATTTGACTGAAAGGAGATTTAAACAGAGAAAAGGCAGATTTAGTTCATTTGTACGTAGTCACAGTTGTGCCATAATACCATGAATTAACTCCTGCATGTACACTTTGAGCAACATTTTAAAGCAATAAATTATATTTCGTAGTGCTACTTTTGATCTTGTCTTAATCTTAATGGCTCAGGTCTTGTTTCAATGAAGATCAGATCGACTAAGCTCAATTTAAGATTAAATTGAATGAATTAGAGTTGATCTTGAGCAATGCAAGAATTATATTGATAAATACTCCTGAGAGAAGTCTCTTATGTTGATTAGTTGAAAGATCCATCTAACAGAAGAAAGAGCTCCACATATTTGCTCTCGACGCCTCTTATCCTGCTCCGCTAGGGTTTCCTGCCACTACGGTTCCCTAGCGTCCCCGTGGCTCGGGCCAGGCAGGTTGGAAGCTTCTCTTCTTCCTTCTATTTTCTGGTTTAGCCTCTTTTTTCTTTTGATTTGTCCACCTCCGGCCTTTTGGCCAAAATGACAGTGAATCGTTCGTTTGACCATGGCTTTCTGGATGGTCCAACCAAATCTCGGTCTTTCGTTGAGGCTCTCTTTGGTAAGTCCAATGGTAGGAATTTTTCAGAATTGAAACCTTCTACTTTTCATGGTCTATCGTCTATGTGGATATCGGATGAAGAGATTTTGGCGCTAGATGCTCCTCTTCGTTATGCTTTAGTTAGATTTTTCCCTCTTGTCGCCCGTCTCCTGATTCTATTCATAAGTTTTATTTCACGCTAAAGCTGCAAGGTGATTTATCTGTTACTTTATTGGATCCCTCACACATTTTGGTTAAGCTTTCCAATGAGATGGATTATTGCAGTGTTTTCTCTCATAGATGATTTATCTGTTGTGGGGTTGCTTCTTTGTGGAGCTGTCTTACTCTTCTAGCTTTCTTCTTTTTTGATGTTTTGTGGTTGTTGTGGGCGCACCGTCTTCTTTATACTTCTCTTTGTTGTGGTTTGTTGTATCATTTGCAGGCTCTTTCAGGTTGAACTTCGCTGGATTGAAGTTGTTCGTTTGGGGTGTTTTTTATTGTTGGGATGCTACTATTTTTCAACTCTTGCTGCAGTTTGCTCTAATTGTGTGGCCTTTTGACTTGTTTGCTTCTTTTTGGTTTTATGTTTCCTTTTATGTGTCTTTAATTATAATAGATCGAATCAAAGGCTCGTAGATTTTACTTTAAATGTTGTATTTTTAGTGGGCTATTGATTCGATAAGAACTTGTAATCTCATTTTCATATTAACGTGTAAGCCCCTTTGGGGGGTTTTATTTATTTATTAAAAAAAAAAAAAAAAAAAAAAAAAAAAAAAAAAAACTAACATAAGAAAGAAGGGAATTTATGTAAGGATTCGCTCTATTTGTAGACTCGGGTCAATTCAAATGTGCACAAATACTTGGCAATCTTGCACTCGATGGAGCAAGATTGAAAGAAATGTTATTTGAAAACTTCATTAATACAAATGCAAAAGCGAATTGAAGTATGTTTGCTATGATTTTCACTATGGGTTTGGTCCACAAGCACAACAAAACTATATATGTTGTGCACCTTTCGTATATATAAAAAAATAAAATAAAATAAAAACCATAACAAAATCGAATTTTAAAGGTTTTTCTAATGAGTTAGATTTTGTAAAATCTAGGTTAAAAAAAAATTTGTAAAATCTAGCTCATCATATACCCAAAATACAAAACGCTGAAGTAGTATGTCAACCGCTATATCCTGCTTATTAGATAATTACACTAGCAAATCTTTATAATAATGAAGCATATAATTGAGAAAAAAATATATACAATTTTTCTTTATTTTCTCATTTATTTACTTCCTATTGTGTTCATCGTGGATGCATGGGGGATTCAGGATGGGGGTATAGGAGAACATGGCCCCACCTAATGGAGCAATTATTACGTCAGGTCATCTGACGCGTCCAGATACTAATAATCAGACGCCACATCACCTGAAACTCAGTATTGAGCACTCGGTATTGCTCGGTATACATCCTGATTTTAGATTTTTTGTCCGGACGTAATAATTACTCCACCTAATGGCTACCGCACAGTCCACACTTTTCATACCTCTTAGCCTCTTTTTATTATAAACTAATATTCAAGATATTTGTAAAAAATAGAAATAAGTTAAAGGAAATTAAAAATAGAGAGGCAAACTACAAACTCGTAGATCTCATATTTTTAGAAAAATCATCAAAGATATTGCTTACTTGTCATCAATATTTTATGGACTAAGGAGTAATATAATTAAGAACATAATTTAAAATAATAAAATTTTATTTTATCATAGTGCCTCACTAAAAGAGATGATGAATTCTTCCCTGTGTGTATTCCCATAAATATACATTATTATTTAGTAAATATAATTAGTGAATTATTGCCTAATAATAATAAGAAAATGTTAAAAATTAATCTTCCCTAAAAAGTTCACTTGATGGACATCTAAATTGGTATGGGTAAAATGGATTGGGCCAGTGGGCCATAATTAAGAGCTTAATTATATCTCATTTATGTGCACATTAGCTCTTTAGTCCTTTTATTGTGACATTCAATGGCCAGTGGTGGCAGCGACAGTGGTGGCCGATGAGGGGCAGTTGAGGGTGGTGGCTGGCGGTGACCAGCGATGAGTGGCGGTCAAGTATATTTACTCAATTGTGATGTAAACGCTTTTCACTCAAAATCGAAGAATTTGCTTTACAGTACTCAAAATGAACTACTTCACTTTAAATTATATTTACTATACTTCACTTTTTCTATTCCAACCAAGTACCAAAATTTGTAAGACCTTTACATTTGAAATACTTTACACCCTAAAATAATCCAATCAAACAACCCCTTAAATAATTAACTATGCATGTAAAGTTCAATGTACATGAAAAAACCTTTACGAAGAATACCAAAGAAACAAATAATAAGATCTGCTTTCTTTTCATGAAACAAATAAGAGAATAATAGCTGCACTTCTAGTTTGAAAGCAGCTATCCAGGCAATAAGAAATTCAATTACCACACCTTCTGTTGAAAATTGCTTTAGAGAGGAAGAAGCACTTCCGCTTCTTGATCTTGAGGAGGAGGATGGAGAGAGAGAAGGGAGAGGGGGAGAGCTGAATTCAAAACTTTATTTCTTGGCCACAACCCATAAGGCCCCTATATATAGGCACAAAAGCAACATAACAAGCTACACAACTAGCTACTCTATTGGTCATACAAGCCAAACAAAAAAATAAAATCCTAAATCTAGGATCAATATCTAACACCTTCTTATACCTACGTACTTCCCACTTAATTAATTAAGAGTAGAAGTATACATTCAATTCAGGTACAATTAACCACTAAAGAAGATGTCAATGAAGAGAAGAATTAGTGAATTTTGAGGGGCCATAGAAGATAAGCAAGCAAATAAAATAAAAATTAGTGAATTAGTCGCAATTTGTCACTTACACCACTTTTAAGGGGACTATTTTAACCCATACAATGATTTCTTTAAAAGACAAATATATTTTTCCTTGTTTTGTACAATAAAGCCAATGAGTCATCAAATTTCTTTCTTTAAGATTATCATGGAAGAATATTCTTTTCACTTTTAAGTTGTTGCAATACCCAATCAAAGAAGACAAACTCGTCAATATTCATATTAATGCTATGCTGATCACTAGGGAGAAAATCCTATTATAGTCTACATCTTCCTTCTAAATTCCCTCCCATTTAAACTATAGATTTTCTTACATGTTTCAACTTTATGATTCTCATATTTTTTATATACATATTTAGAAATGATGAGCCTACTATGAGCAATTATCCCTCAAGATGATAATATAATATTGTTGTTCATAGATGAACTTGAAGGCAAGATAAATAAAAAGGTTTTAACTCCTTGATGCCACTAGGTCCACTACATACGCAACAAGCTGACGGTTCATACCACTCCATCAGCTTGAGGGGGTGTAATAATATATACCTATTTAAGCACCTGTATATGTTTATTTGTTTTCTAGATTTCTCTTATTAGTATTATGTATAGGTTCTACATTAGTCTATATAAGGACTCTTCTGTACTCATTCTTACATATGCAATAATATACGTACTATTCGTTCTGTTCTGCTTTCACCTCCCATTTAAACTATAGATTTTCTTACATGTTTCAACTTTATGATTCTCATATTTTTTATATACATATTTAGAAATGATGAGCCTACTATGAGCAATTATCCCTCAAGATGATAATATAATATTGTTGTTCATAGATGAACTTGAAGGCAAGATAAATAAAAAGGACATAAAAGAAATTTGATAGAGGCACTTCTCAGGATAAAGATGAAATTTATCTATCATCTATAGTGTACGTATTGATTATCGAAATAAATATAGTTTTATTACCCTGGTTAGATTGTACATTAAATAGATATATCATCTCATTTTTGTGATTCATGTTGGACTAAAATGTCCGTAGCCTAAGATATTTTGACATATTTGAATCATGTCATCAATAAGATCTATATATGACCATCATTTCCCGTAAGATAATGCATTGATTGATAAATGTCTCATATTTGAAATTAGTATCATAGGCAATCCTAAATGAGCCTTCATGATCATAATAACTTAAAATAAATGTTAGATTTCATGAGTTGGATAGAATAATCTTCATGCATCTTTAAGCAATCCAACAATTGTGATTTAACCACTTCATCGCATCATCATAACTACATAGAAGTTCAAATCTCTTGCCGCTCTTAGTTGAGGGTTTATTTGGGACAATTTCTTACTGCGTTCTAAAGCAGCTTTGCAATATAAAAACTTTTAGTTTAAAATTTTTTGTATAAAAAGTTACTTTAGAAAATAGTAAAAAAATTGTCTCAAAAGAAGCCTGAATAATTAAGAAGTAAAAATCTTTTTAAGTTTTCTAAACTCTCCGGTGGGCATTCTTAGACAATTTCAAAGCCCATAAGCTATAAGCCTCGAATAATTCAGCTGGATTTTGTTGTGCTTTTGATTTCCACAATATAGAATACTACGTAAATAAATACATATTATTATGAAATAGCAGCCACGTAGAATTAGTAGACAAGCAATAAGTTTTATAAGTTGCCATCCAGAATTATCAAACTGCTAATGACTCCTTTATCTTTTATTTAAATACTAACTTTGAGCTTGATTAATTAATTGAGATAAATAAATGGTGCAAAAAGTAATAGCAAAATTCTATTTTTTTTTTTTGTTAATACAAGCTAGAGGTGTAAACAAGTCGGCCGTGGTCGAGTCACTCATAATTTGAGCTTGATTAATTAATAGAGATCGAGCTTGAGCTTAATCCTATGAGTTCGAACTGTCTCGTTTATAACATAAGAGAGAAAATGATTATCATTCAAGTAATTGTTATAGAAGAATTATGAAAAGATGATAAATAAGATGTAAGAAAGTAAAATATAATTTTAAAATATTTAAAATAGCGTTATAGCTGAATTACTGAATTTTAATACATTTTAAATACATTTTACACTAATAAATTTTGAAACAAGTCGACTCGCAAGCTAACCAGTCATGTCGAAGTTGGCTTAGACTTGGCTGTTAGCTAATCAAGCTCAGCTCATGAGCCATTTATCAAGTTGAGTTTGAACCAGCTCACAAGTTGGCTTAACTGGCTTACACCATTGCCAGCCATTCAGCTAAAAAGATATTCTTATTAAAATTAATTGTTTAAAATATTCAGAATTATGTTGTTTGCCATTTGGAATTCATAAATGCTGTACTGAGTCAAAAATTTGTCCAAAATCATTAGAGAATTTTATACTCATAAAATTAAAATTTTACTTAATTTAATATATAAGATCAATTGAGAGAATAGATTAATAAATTGGTTTATTTATATATGTCGTACAAAAATTTCGATATTATATACGAAATGTCTCGTGCTATTACTATCAAATAGATTTAATTAAAATTTCGCCTCATAAATAATTCATGGAGATAAGATTAGGGATAAAATAGTAATTTTTTATCGTGAGGCCTCAAATTCAGAAAATGACATAAAATATATCATCCCTTTAATCTTGAAATTGATATCAATACAAATACATAATTTAGATATTTTTCCTAATGGATTTTATATAAGGATATAAGTGTGCTAAGTCAGCTAGACTCAAACTCAACTAATTAACAAGCCTATTGAGCCAATAGTTCAAGCTCAAGTCTACGGGTTCGAAAAACTTAACGTTTGTTTAGCCACTCAATTAAATTAAAAATAAATTCAAAATAGCTTTAATATATAGTATACTAAAATTTTAAATTATTTCCGAGTCAATTTTGAGCTTTTTAAACGAGCTTGTTGCGTTCTGAAGTATTCGCGGCGGTAGAGAAATATATAGTTTAATGTCTTAGAATTGTATGAAGATCTAGCACACAATCAGATTAGTGAGAGGGTGTAACATTCATAAGAGACACCTAAAAAGGGGGGAAAATCACGGGGTCTGGCCCATTTTGAATGAATCCACTAGTATTTGTAGTCGATTACAAATGAGGTCCTTCTTAGGGAGAAGGCCTTGGCTTGATGTCACAAATGTACATCATATAAAACACATTATATGGTGGGTGTTACATAGACATGTTTGTTTGGTCGACAGGACCATAGTCGATGGGTTTGTCTGGTGATGGAGATCAGAAGGACCATAGTAGGTGATGCAGGTCGGAAGGACTGTAATCAGCAGGAGTCAGGGGTCTAAAAGACAGTAGTTGGCAGAAGACCGAGTCAGAAAGACCGTTGTCTGGCGATGTAGGTCGGAAGGACCGTAGTTGGCAGGTGACCGGGGTCAGAAAGATCGTTGTCTGGTGATGGAGGTCGGAAGGACCATTGTAGGTGATGGAAGTCAAAAGGATCTTAGTCAACAGGGGGCCGGGGTTAGAAAGATAGCTATTTTGTGATGGAGGTCGAAAGGACCATAGTAGGGGACAGAGGTCGGAAGGACCGTAGTCGGCAGGAGACCGGGGTTAGAAAGGTCATAGTAAAAGGGCAATACTTTGGGAGAACTCTGGGCGTCAAGTGGTGGCCTGGTGGAGCATAGAGCCTTAAGTAGTGGTCCGGCGAAAGTCCAGGCCTTAGGTAGTGGTTCGATAGAAGCCCAAGCGTCAGATGGCACCTTAGTGGAGCTCGGGGCCTCAAGTGGTGGTCCAATAGAAGTTCAGGCCTTAGATGGTGGCTTGGTGGAGCACAGGGCTTCAAGTGGTGGTCCAGCGGAGCAACAACATTATGCGGTGGTCCAGCGGAGGTGAGGGCTTGAAGTGGTGGCCTGGTGGAGTTCAAAGCTTCAAGTGGTGGTCCGGAGAAGACGAGGGCCTCAGGTGGTGGTCTAGCAGAGCAACGGCGTCAGACGGTGGTCCGACGGAGGTGAGGATCTCAAGTGGTGGTCAGGCGGAGTAACGACATCAGGCGGTGGTCCGGCGGATGTGAGGGTCTCAAGTGGTGGTACGGCGGAACAACAACGTCAGGCGGTGGTCCGGCAGAGGAGAGGGCCTCAAGTGGTGGTCCAGCGGAGCAACGACGTCAGACGGTGGTACGACGAATATGAGGGCCTCAAGTGGTGGTCCGGCGGAGCAACGGTGTCAGGCGGTGGTCCGGCGAAGGTGAGGGCCTCAAGTGGTGGTCCGGCGAAGGCGAGGGCCTCATGTGGTGGTCCGGCGAAGGCGAGGGCCTTATGTGGTGGTCCGGCAAAGGTCCGATGATGGTTCGGTGAAACTCCGGCGATGGTCGAGGAGGAGCTTCTTCCTTCTCTTATCTTCTTCTCTTCTTGCTTCGATCCCCCTTCAAGAGAAATGAGGGGTCTATTTATAGATTTCTAGATTGGCATGACCCAGAAATAGATGAGAGATCAGTGACAAATAGGGAGTGATTCGATAAATGGCCGATATTGAATCCCTTAATCATGTACCGTTTGTCAGACATTTGAAAGTCTTAATGACTTCAGAATTCGTCGATCTTGGGCTCGTTGGATTTGTCTCGTCGAGCCGCTCGATTCGACTATAAGCTTGTCAAGTTTGAAGACTGTTTGGTAACATAAATTGTGGTACGAACTTTGCAACAACGCTTCGGGTCCTTGATTTGGACTCATTTGGGCTCGGATTGAGTCTAATTTGGTGTCGTTGAGTTCGTATTTCCGAGACGATCAGTTCGACAATAAGTTTATGGAAATCGGAGTTTAGATGGTCCCATATTTAATTTTTTAAGCTTCCAACTCAATTTTAGCCTCGAGATTCGTGTCTGATCAAGATAATTTTTTGATGATATATTAGAGCTAGAGTTAGGCTTCGTTTTAGACGGCTTTTTTACTATTTTCTGAAACAATTTTTTAGTACAATTTTTTTTTTTTAGTTTAAGAAATTGTGTATTAAAAATTTGCTTTTGAAAACAGTAACAAAAAGTCAACCCAAATGAAGCCTAATTAAGTCTAATTTGAACCTCATAATTTTCAAACGAGTTGAATTTAAATTTAGCAAATAAACTCAAGCCTAATTCAAACTCGAGCTCCAGCTAGAATTAAAGCTGGACGACAAGTAAACGTGCTAACTCATTTACAGCCCTGGTTTTTGCGTGCGTACACAATTGTTTCCATCAATTTTGATTGATTTGGCCGGCTTAAGGGGGAGTCCAGCCGAATTATTAAAAAAATAAAAATTATTAAAAAAAATCAAATAAATTGACAAGGCGATATGGAGCCGCGTAGAATTTAGCGCGACTCACAAATCCAACAGCAAAACACCAAGTGGCTAATTACTATAGGAGAAGCGTCAAATCATTGCCGCTGGACTCGCCCATTACCTGCCACGTCTCACCATTTTTTTATCGGTATTTTCATCCGCTCCGCCTTTAAATCTCTCGTCCCAGCGCCAGCCTATCGCTCGTCGCCAACAGGCCTAAGTGGACTTCCACAACGGGAGGAAAAAAATAAACCTGAAAGGTATGCTCTCTCTCTAGCACTTTAGAGTTGAAATTTTGTTCTGTTTCGTATCCCGAAATTTCGGAATATATACCTACGTTCGCATCTTCCGTTAGATTTGTGGATATCGAGATAAGAAATTTTGGCTGCGAGGCGGTTGATGGTGGGTGCTGCTTTGTTCTGTAGCTAAATTGCCGGAATTTCGGGGCAGTGAGGGCGGAAGAAATGAGTTATCGTGGCATGTGGAACGATGGAAACGACGGCGATCGGCCGGCTGCGGGTACTCCGCTTTCGCGGCAGCCGTCGATTTTCTCGCTGACTTTCGACGAGTTCCAAAGCACGATGGGGGGGATGGGGATTGGGAAGGATTTTGGTTCGATGAACATGGACGAGTTTCTGAAGAACCTCTGGAATGCTGAGGAGAACCAGGCAATGGCGGTCGCACTCGGTGGGGTAGACGGTGGCGCTGGCGTTCTCCAGCGCCAGGGATCGCTCAGCCTCCCGAGGACCCTTAGCCTGAAGACCGTGGACGAGGTTTGGCGGCATGTTATGATCGATAACGTGGAAAGCGCAGGTGGATCAGATCTCCAGCAAAAGAGGCAGCCGACGCTCGGCGAGATAACGCTTGAGGAGTTCCTGGTGCGAGCTGGGGTAGTGAGAGAAGAGCCCAACCCTACTGTATCGACACCCGTGGTTAACAATAGCAGCAACAATAATAACGGCGTTTATTACGGAGACTTGTCGGCATCGGGCAACAGCAACTCCGCTTTTGCCTTCAATTTACCTCAGGTGGAACGCAGCAACGTGGGAGTGATGCCAAGCTCCCTTCCAGGCAACTCTGATACAAATTTAGCCATACCTGTCGCCGGCGCGACGCCATACTCCGCGCAGCTACCATTAGGCGCTAATGTTGATCCCGGAAGACAGCGGAGGATGACAGGCGGAAGCGTCGGGATCGTTGATCCAGCTATTAATAATGGTTTGATAACAGGGATGATTGGATTGAGAACTGGAGCTTTCGCCGTTGCGGGTGCGGGGCCGCCGGCAAAGCAGGTTACTTCTGATAGACCTGCAAAGGGGAAAGGAGATTTTTCATCGTTGTCGCCGATGCTCTTCGGGTTCAATGGGGCCATAAGGGGTAGAAAGTCCGATGGTGCGGTGGAGAAGGTTGTGGAAAGGAGGCAGAGGAGGATGATAAAGAACAGAGAGTCGGCTGCGAGATCTCGAGCCCGGAAACAGGTATTATTTATTGTTCAGCTTTTAGGGCTGATTTTTCATTTGAATCCCATTTTTATTGAATTTACGTTGCCTTTGTGTAATTATTCTTATTCATTCGCATGGTTCTTTTTTAATTTACATGACCTACTATTGCGTGGATTGATTAAATTGCTCTGTTAAACAGTTGTTTGCATACCCTGTTTTATGCTTGTATGGTACTGGCTTAGTATTAGGCTACTGTAAGTATTTGTGTGTTAAAATGGTTTGTTTAAAACCATCTTACCCTTTTTGATTGGAAATTCGTGTACCTTATTGATCTTTATTTAAAAACAAACAAACAAACAAATAAAGTCTCGGTGATGAAGCGGAGTTAACTTTGTCCTTCATTGTGCTTCCTACTGTTGAAGTCTTTCTCCAAGGGGGTGTGCACTTACTCAAGAAGTTATTTACTTGAGAGGAAAATAATACAAACAAAAGCGCAAGAGTTCAATATCTTCATTCAACAAAGCACAACCTTTTGCATGAAGACAAAACTATAGTGTGAGATAAATTCAATTATGATGTGTGGCTATCAGGTGATGACATGGTGTTCAAATGATGTAGCTTGGTCAAAAGGCAGACAAATATGGTTAAAATAAGGTCAAGAGATAGGGCTAGGCTAGCTCACGCACAAATATGAATTAATACAACTCAATGCTTCGCACTACAACTCAAAGCCTAGGAATAAGAATCATAAGGTCCCAAAATATAGGCTTGACTCATGACCCAAAGCAAAAGGGTCTGGTTCACATGACTCAATCAAAAGAAATGTCCTAGGTACGATGTAAACTAGACTCGATGACATATGGGATACCTTGCATCAACTAGTCCAATAGAGTTTGTGTATCTAAGTTTTGATGGTTGTATTGATTGAAACTATTTTAAAAATGTTCACTGATTAAATTTAGGCTATCAAGAAATGACAATCGTGTTGAAATGTTTGTGTTATATAAATTGGAGGTTTGCGAAGGTCCTAAGAATTTCATGTAGTATGAATGTATGCAAGCAAACTACTCAAAATTGGTATAACCTTGTTGCGATCTACGGCAAGGGGTGAGCCACTTGCAGTAAGGGTGTTGGAGGGGGGCATTGGCAGTCAGCTGCTATCCGCCATAAGTCACTTGCTCGGTTTGACTATCACAAGGAAGGAGGAGGGTCGGCTTCCTTGGATTTGATAGGACAAATCTGGTTTCATCTAGTTCTGGGGCCAAAGTTATCGGCTTCCTTGGATTTGACAGGACAAATCTGGTTTCATCTAGTTACGGGGCCAAAGTTATATTTGGTCCAGTTTAGGATTAAACACACAAGGATTTTGGTGAGTTTAGTGTTTGGTTAGAATTAACATGACAATGCAATCATTTTGGCTGCAAATTTATCAAATTTGATGTCCATTTATTCCTAAAGGCAATTTATGGAAAGTGTCATTTCAACTTTTTCATCCAAAAATTGTATCTCATTGCATATGGTTAGATGAAATTTTTTTATGCATCAGAAGTTATGTTTGCCTCGCATCCTTTATTATGTCTGGTAAGTAATTACATTGTTAGTTTACTTAATAAGAAAGTATTAAACATCCTTAATTAGAAAAATCACTCTTGAAGTTCATTGGTTTAGGCAAATCTAAGTGCTTGTTTAATGTTGACATTATGTGATTCTGCTAATAACTTTTGTTTCTTACATACAAGATTGTGGTATAATATCTTTGGAAACTGTAGTTTAACTCTTTTTAATTTGGGTCAGGCTTATACCATGGAGCTAGAAGCTGAACTCGCTATACTAAAAGAGAAAAATCAAGAGCTAGAAAAGAAACAGGTAAGCACTACATTTAGCCTATGTTTTTTAGATTCTGAATAATAATAAGCATATTGCTGCTCGTAGAGGTTTTTGTTGTCAATGATATATTCATTTATAACTTACTATATTGTAGCCCTCTAAGTTACTATTTTGTGGACATTTTCACCAACTCTTCTTTTAAAAGTTTTTTTGTTATGAAATGTGGTTTTTAATTGAATTGAAGTATCTTTGTCCTCTTTATAAGTTTTGAGCACTTTGTGAGAATAGTTACTCATGGTGAATAATAAATTGGGGTGTTAGCATGCATAGTGAAACCCTAACTCACCAACTGTAGGCTTTGGAGAAACTACTTGTTAATAATGCTTGCTGAATTTCAAAACCCCATTGAAGTAAGAAATCTAAAGGTAGAGAATTCGTTACTAATTAATATTCTATCTAAAGAAATTACAGGTCCTGTTATTTCTCTTATCAGTCATTGGTGAAGCTTAATTTTGCACCGTCATGAACCAGCCTATTAGTATATATACCAGCGGATTCTAGATCACTCTAGAAATGAAAGCTTGTTACACAAAATGTACTTGTAAGTATTGGTTCCACATATGAGAAAATCATAGTAGAGAGTGTGGAGATTCAAGCGTTCATCAAAGCATATTATGTAATCTCCAAGCTTCATTCTCAATATAGACATCCGGAAGCATATTTACTGGTGACTAATAGTATTGAAATTTACAATGTTAGCTCTTTGCTTAGGTGAAACCATGGATTAAGTCAAAACTTCAAGTTGTAAAGCGTGAAAGAGGGATTGACAATTACATTCTTACAAACATATTTAGGAAACAATTAATGGAAGTCCTATATTTTTTTGTGAAGATGATTGTAGTTGTTATTTCTTCTGTTGATTAGATACTTGATATTCTATTGTCTTGTCGCTTACTTAATTTAACTGTAGAACCATGCCGTTCAAAGATGTGATTGACTAATTTCTCTTTTAAAATTTTCAGGCCAAGGTGCTGGAAATGCAGAAAGACCAGGTAAATGGCTCTCTCTCTGTGGATTGCAACTAGTTTGTCATTTTTTTCGGTAATATTTATCACAAACAGGAGTTTCATTGCTCGTAAATTGTTCAATATTATAGAAGTATTGTATAAAGTTATTCATAGAATAAAACATCTAAATAATTGCAAAAATGCCTTCAAGAGCGAAATTTAATGAACCATATAATAATTTATAATAGAGACCAAGCGAACACAAAAAGTATCAAGGTTTAAAGTAGTTAAACTTAAATCAAGCCTATGTTAATAAGAGATGAGAAAGGTTTGATCTACTAAACAAAAGCCACAAATATTATGCAAGATTAAGACACTCTGAAGATCTTCCCTTGAAACTTGAATACACCCAACTATTACAATGGAAATAATCCCTAAGAACCTCTTATAAATCACTTTATCTTGCAACTAGATGACATTCTAGACACTGGCTTACAATCCTCCTCCTTTCCTTTAAGAATTCAAAAGGTGCTTTTCTGTTCTAGTTATCAAACACTTCAAAAAGTTATTCCGCGGAGAGATTTTTTCTATTACATATACCTAAGAAATCTTAACTAGGATTTTATGTCACAGCCTTAACCTGATGACTCCAATAAATGAAAGATATGTATACTCATCTGCATACCAGCTAAGGCCATCCATACGCAATCTAAGATGGAGATCCTGATTCGAGAATACAAGAAGTGCTAGTTTTATTCTCACAAAAGTTGAGGTGCATTTGTGAAATTGAAAGTCTCAGTTCTTGAAAAAAATTGGAAAAGGATCCTGTTCCCAATCTCATGCAAACCTCATCGAAATTAGAAAATATCCTTATGATCTTAATTTTATGCAGAGCTCTTCAGATCTTCTATAATGTTGGTTGCACCAAATATAAAATTATATTGAGACAGAAATTTATCAATTCTCTCCTTAATCTCCTATGTGGTCTCTCTTCAAGCCTAGCACTCTGATCTTCCAAAGCCTTGAAGGATCGAGTGCGCATAATCTCGTAAATTCTTGATGATGTCTATTCCAAACACTCACAAGAGGCCTTTGAAGCGCAATTGCCACTAAAATGGATGTTTTAATATCGAAAATGCACCTCACATAGAATTTCATACCTTTCTATTTGGCCTATGTTAAGAAAGGTAGAGGTAGACCAAAAAACACTTGGTTAAATAATATTAGAAATGAACTTTTTTTATTAGATTTAAATGAGAATTTGACTCTTAATAGGACACAATAGAGAAAAAAGATTCATATAGCTGGCCCCATGTAGTGGGATAAAGACTTGATATTTTTGTTGTTGTTATATCATATTTCTCTTAATTCTGAATTCTATAATGGTTTGATTTAGTAATAACACATGTGGCAGCACAAGACATTCATCTAATCATCCCAAAAAATCTTCCCATAATATCTTCCTGACTTTGAGTGGAACTTTTATCATAGGCTAGATGCAAACTTTGTTCTACTTCCCAAAAACACAATGATCTTACATAAATAAAATAAATGCACTCAAAGTTGCAGCTCATAACAAGGAACTAACCTAAGTTTATTTGTCTTCCAACAAAACAACCAGCGCTACTTGGCAAACCTCAAGGAATATAGCATCAGTAAAAAACTTTTACCTTATCGCACTCAAAGATATCAGATTCTTTCTTGTAATTAATGCATGCTTAACCAATAGCCTGCTTACACCACCATGTGTCCTGAAACATAGTGCCAAATCTAGTAGCCGTGCAAGTAGCATAATTTCATATAGACAGCCATTATATGGCTCACAAATGAAAAATATGTCATTGTCTGGACTTAGATGATATGAACAAGCCAAGTTATGAATATATAGGTCATCCATCTAAGTCCTACAATCACTGAATGAACATTACAAGGATTTATATGTACTGATGTAGCAATCATTGACTTATCTACTTATGTCTGTTACATGCATGTCTCTTCTTCCTCTTTAATACATGGTAATCCCTCTTGGTATGGCAATCCTTCTTATAGTTGGCATTAGTCTTGTAGTTTGCTACTAATGACTTATTTCTATCATGACTAGATGGCACACTTAACACTAGCTTGCATCCTTATTTTTTTAAAGAAACTGTGAGGTTCTTTTCTCATTTTAGCACTCAAGCACTTTAAGTGGTAATTCCATTACTGAGTTCTCTTTGATTGCATGTACTTGAAAAAACCTAACTGATACAATGCAATTGCTTCTTAACCTCCAAAAAATGAACATATACTCATCCACACAACAATGGAGTAATTTCCTACATGACTCCTGAAGAGTCCAAGTCGCATGCAATATGAGAAGCAGCTCCCATTTCGAGGGTACCTATTATGAAAATTAAGAACGCAAGTCTGCTTCTTATAAAAATTGAGGTGTACTCAAAATCAAGAAAGGATAATGATCCCAATCTCATGGAAACTCTCATCAAAATAAGATTGTACTCCTAGCATCTAGATCATATGCAGTGCTTTTTAGATTTTGTGCAACGCATATTCATCAAATAGGAAATTATAATGAGTCGAAAACATTATCACCTTTTTTATTTTACTTTGTAGCTTTAAACAACTATAATTATAACTTTTTGTACTAAAAAAATTAGATTCATTATCTTGCTAATCAAGCTAATTAGTTTTATGTATGTAGTTTTTCTAAAGGATTTTCTTCATCGTGCTAATACTTCATGTAATTGTCAAAACATAACCTTGTTGAATTTAATGGTCAAACATCCACATAATGCATATTTTTCAATATTTAGAGATATTGTTTGAATGATATTTTTACATTTATTACTCTCTTCTTTAGCCAAACTATAGGCCTTGTATTTTCCTCTACATTCACATGGAAAAATACATAGACTGAATTCTCTCTTTCTCCTTCTTTTATAAAATGTGATATTAGAGCAATGACGCCTTTAATCTTGCTCTCCAAATCTATATTCCTATTGTTTGCACGAACCTAGTTATGCTTTTGTTGTTGCTTTATGAGTGACACAACCACATCCTTTTCACTTACTCCTTGTATCTCGCACTGCTTGCTGAAGTCCTCCATATTATTATCTTGTTGTAGTCATCAATCGTTATTGAGCCTCTGCTTACCATCATGAGTGCTTCTTGTTGTTGCCTCCTTTCTCTCAATTCTTCTTTGAGCAATCCTCCACATCATCGTTATTGAGCCTCTGCTTACCATCATGAGTGCTTCTTGTTGTTGCCTCCATTCTCTTAATTCTTCTTTGAGCAATTCCCCACATCATCGTTCATAAGCCACAATCTTGTTGTGCGTCGCAATCTTCCTACCTTATTGCCATATCACAGTTACCAACATTTATAAATTGGGTTGAGCCCATATATCGAATTGATGCCACAATGGATGCTTCTAGCAACATCATATAGATCCAAGAAATGTCGAGTCTCTTCAAAGTCAAGTGTGTGATTATACTAACGACAATGAACCCCCACCTGCCAAAATTTTGATGAATTGAATGAGGTATTTCTTAAAGATAAGATGGAATGTGTTGCCAAGAATCACAAATATATTGCCTAACTTTGCAAAACATGCACTTTTATTACTTAGACCTAACTTGGCACTTATGATATTGCCAAGGCCATAAGGGACTTACTTGCAACTCAATTTCTTATTACTACTAGGTTATCTGATAAGTATTACTCACTTCAGCATCTTCAAGAGAACCTTGGAAATACTATTAATTACTTACTAAAGTTTATATTTTTGGACTCAAATTGATTTGGCTTTGCCGAAGGATGATATCTGGCCATTCCTTTTCAACTCTTGATAGCGCTTTCTAATGACTGACCCAATTTGCACTTATTTATTTAATTGCAGTACTCTCCCTACCTTCAAAATTGATATTTTTAAACTCACCAACGCCTACCAATGGTTATCGCTATGTGCCTTCTATGTGCAACTATTACAAGGGATAATATGCCTGGTGTTTGTCCAACTCACAACTATTGCCATTTGCTATAAATTGGCCCTGGTTATCATAATAACGAAGGCCCAAAGGCCCTCCTCTTCTAACGCTTGTCTTCTAGGTCTCATACCGTATTTGGCACAAAAGTAGTTGCTACTATTGCTATCTCAGCCACCCTTATTTGATGATTACTCTTTCTACGACTAACAGGCAGACGCTCTTAAACCAATATAAATCCCAATTTAATATATCTCTTTCCACCATCATCTTCATTGCCTAAGCCTTATACTTCTACACTCTGTAAGCCTTATACCTATCATGACGTTTTTTGTGACCCAAATTGGTAGAAAGTTATGAAGCATTTGATACTTACATTGAACTCACTAGGATCTAATTATGACAAAGTTTTTTTATTGGTTTTAAATGGATCGATAAAATGAATACTTATTTAGATGGACCTCTTGAGTGCTATAATGCTATAGGTGCCATTTAGAAAGATAATCTTGACTTCGATAAAACCTCTGCCCTTATAATTTTTCTTAGTTTCATAAGCACTTTGTCGTTTAATTCCATATTGATGTTACGAATGTACACCTCAATGGTGATCCAATTGTGAGTTTAAGGTTTTGTTTGTGACAGCTTTAGACTACTGTTTTTTCTTGCTTTCAAGAGATTTTTGTATTAAAAAGCATCTTTTCAAAGCAATAAGAAAGCCGTCCCTAACGAAGCCTAAAAATGAAGTTTATATGCATCCACCACTTGGTCCGCATGTCCTATCGGACAGAGTCTATCGAATTTGAGAAGCTTGTTTCATGAGCTCTTTATGAACTCAAACAAGCTCCTCAAGTATAGTTCACCAAGTTGAACAACACTAGTCATAATATCAACCACTCTTTACGTTGAACTCACTAGGAAATGGTTGGGGTACATGAACGTTATTGTTTTGTTAAATATGTTTTCTAATTATAAGAAATCAAATGGGCAGATTTTGGAGCTTCTCAATGAAAAGCTTGGACCAAAAAGATCATGCTTGCGGAGGACATATACAGGTCCCTGGTGAAGGGAGCCTTGGGCTTTTAGGAGTCAAAATTGGTGAGCGCACTCTGCTTTGTGGCAACGGTATTGTGTACAGAGAAGGGAAAGGGAAAACTTAATGTGCTGTAAAATAGGAATTTGAGTTGCCGTCCATTGATCTATGGTCATTTTTTAGCTTGTTTCCTATTCTAATCCGGCAGCAGTAATCTCTCTCTGCTGCTACCGACTTTTTTTTTTTGCCCAGCATTAGAGAAATTATTACGTGCGGAGTGCAGACGGTGTATAGACTCCAATCAGATCAAGATGCATAGACTTTTTTTCTCTCTTTTGTATAAAGGGTGTGTACAAGAAGACTACAAAAGAGAGAAAGTCTACGTATCTTAACTTGATTGGAATCGGGATGAAAGATACGTTTTGACTCCACACTGAATAATTTCTCCTTAATATGTGTATTAGAACATGGCTTAACATTAGATTGGGTGATGAGTGCTATTTTCATGCCAGCTCTTGTACAATTGTACTCTTTTTTTATGCTTTTAGATAAATAATGCAACACTTTTCAAATAAAATTATATTGAAGTTATAGTTTTTTTTGTTGAGAAATTTGACTGTGTGTATCCCATAACAGTTGTAATTTGCAAAATATTTTTATTATTCATTGATTTTTTTTTTTTTCAAATGAAATTGCCTCTCTCCTCAAAATTCTCTCATAATTCTCACCCCTCGGTGCTATTATAGACATTTTTTTAGTAGTTGATAGTTTATCAGGACAAGAAGATTGTAACGGAAAGTTGGATAGGAAAAAGTAGTTTAACATTACCTTTGGCGGGGTAAAGTCTTCTTTAATATATGATTGATATTATGTCATATAATCTAAGCGATTTTCTGATTTTATAATGATTGAATGATCAAAGTGATTGTGCAATGAATCGATATAATTTTCATAGAGATTTTATGCTTGTTCAAATAAGATTTGAACTTACGATCAAATTATGTTTGAATATATTTGATTAATATTCAAATAATGTTTCCCCAATCAAGAGAAACCGAGCAGTATGGTGAGACATGGTTATTTTTCAAGGGTCAATGTCTGAAAGTACCTCTAAGCCAATAACTACTAATGTAGTGACTTCATGCTCGAGCCTATCTCTAGCATATTTAGAGTTTGGGTAATTTTTTTGAGAGTAAAAATGAGTTATTGTGAAAGTAACATCCATATGCAATGGGCAAATTATTGCGTCAGGTCACCTGACAGAGAGATGCGTTCGGTTTCTCTCTGTCTACAGTAACCTGCGCTTTACTGTAGCCTGACGCAATAATTTGCCTATGCAATAAAGATGAACTTTCAATTAATCGTAATATATCCATTACACTTGTAAAAAACATTCATGGAGCTTTTGGTTATGAAATTGACAAAACTGAGTATTTTGAGAATCAGGAGTCATGAATCAACACATACTTGCACTTTTGATGTCAGATCAAAAGATCATTGACATGCTCAGTTATAACTTATTGTACAAATTATCATCCTTTTTGGGCACACCATCATATATGATTATGTTAAATAAGAAGATCTAGGAATAATTGTTGATGTCTAGCTTGATATTTAATAATCTTTTTAAACTTTAATATTAAATTCTGGTTAATAATTTTTTTTCTTATATTTTATTTTAAAAAATATAAGTTATATTTTATAAATTAGTGAGTATAAATTAATTTTTTTATTAAATATATTATTTTTTATTAATTTTATTAAATATATTTAATTTATTTTTTAATAAAGAAATTACTAATCAGTTATGAATTAATAATTGAAACTGAAGGAATGTAAATAAAAAAAAGTAAAATTAATAATTGACTTCCCTGGCTTCTTAGGGAAATTTTTTTAATTAAGATACCCGTATATAGAGTGACGGTTTCTTAAGGAATTGTTTTTTTTTTTTAATTAAAACCAATGAACGTAATACCGTTTTCTATTGAAATTAGAACTCTATTGAAACCAGATAATAAAGTTTTGATTTTAATAGAAATCGAAAATTGGATAATGTCTGGATAATTGAAATCTTTATTTGCTCTTTTTTTAGACTTTTTCGTTAACATACTACTTAAGCTAATTTAAACTTGGATAGACTTTTTTTTTAATAAATTGACCTTTTTCTAATTATCTAAAACAAAATTTTAGTTGAATTTTTCAAAAAAATATTTATATTAAAAAGTTGCTTAAAACAAAACCAAAGCTACCCAATGTCACTTTAGGTGATTATTTGGGTGGAGCTTCCTTTGAGTATCTTCATGATTCTCTCCTGAGTACGTTTATTTATGGATCTCAATGGGATATTCCGAGCTGTAATTGGTACAAGTCAGTTTGGCATAAAAAAGGCATATTCTGAAACATTATATTTTTGTGTGGCTTGTTTTAGTTGGGGGCCTAAAAACCACAAATGCTCTTCATGTTAGAAATATTTATGTTCCGGTCACTTGCAGTTTTTGCTACTCTTATAATGAATTTGTCTTTTTTGAATGTTCTTACTCTTTTTCTATTCTGACCGCTCTTATTCCTGGAACGCAAGGCTTTCTCCTTAGGTCTTCAGTTTTGCATCTTTTTGAGTGGTTGAATGGTGAACATAAAAGCTCTCATTCGGTTAAAAATTTCTATAAGTTGATGATGTGCTGTGTTATTTATCACATTTGGATAGAGAGATACAATAGGAGATTTGGGGACAATATTCAAAGAAATTTTTCATTATTGATTTGTATTAAAAGAGTGGTGTATGAGAAGGTTTCAAAGTGGAAGAACTCCTTCAATTTGCTGGAAAAATTATAAGTTGGCAGGGGTCCCTATATTGCCAAGAGATATTTGTCCCTTGGTTTAGCCTGCAGATTTTGTCGGTCTGGACAATGATGATGATCCAATTGCAGGTCCCTTGATGGCCTTAGGGCAACCAAGAATTCTGACCGTTCTGATCTATCTGTTGGAATTTTTCGTGAGTCCAGGCTGATGCGCATTGGAGCTTGTTTTTTAGTTGGGGTTAGTTTTTGACATTTTGTTTTGTGCAGCTTTTTGTGCTGTTTTTGAGCTTGGCTGAGCTTTGGCCTATTTTGGTTGGCCAGTTTTTGGCGTTATTTCTTTGACCATGGAAGGCCGGTGGTCGTCTTCTTCCGAAGGAAGAGCTCCTTTATAACCTAATATAGTAGTATGTACAAGCCGCGCAAAGAGAGAGAAAGAAAGAGCAAGTGCCACGCAAGAAGAATTAATTGATGGGAGTTCCATCTTCTCAAAGACAGCGGAAGAGATGGTCGAGTCTGGTTCCCATCTTCGCTGCTATTATGTTGGTGGCCGAAATCGCTTTTCTCAGCCGAATGGACATGGCGAAGAGCTCCGATTTTGTACAACATTGGACTACCTCCTTCTACTTGCCTTATTTCTCCAATGCGGATGACCTTCCTCTCCCGTTCCCAGAGTTCAATCCACTTGATTCTGAGCAGCGACGGTGCGAGGAGCGGCTTAAGAGGGAGGACGATATACCTTACTCCCGCGATTTCACCAAAGATCCGGTATTTATTTCCGGCGTCGAGGAGGTTCGCTTCGTTGTTATGTTTAATCTTCATTTTATTAAATTATCCATCCTTCTGTTCCTAAACGACACTAGAATAAGAAATACGTTCGAAGATGATTGAGAAGCTGATAGGGTAATATGAGTTAATAAATTTATTAGCATTTGAGGTAGGTTAGGATTATTAGATTTTTATTTGGTGATTAGTGAAGCTTGATCAGTCTTGGGCATTTATAAATAGGCTTCATTTGGAGGCATTATCATGAATGAAAAATGTGAGTAGTCTTCTTTTCTATCTCCTTCTCTCTACTGGAGTTGTTGGCGAGCTTGAGAACTCAAATGTGGGTTTATCCTTATGATCTTCTGGGGTCACATCAATGATGCTCTTGTTAGCTTGCTCTGCCTCCCATCATCTTTACCTGTCGATTCTTCCTATGCTGTTTCTTCAATCAAGAATCAAGTTGAGCTCACAATCATCTTTGCCCATTGATCCAGTGATCTTCATGGGAATTCACACCACACCAGCTCAACATATCCCATCACATCTCTAAATATTGCAACATAATGTTCTACATCACATCTCACCCCAGAATCTTCACAGCTCTCAGCTTCACCTCCAATTTTGTCCAAGATCTGGCTATCTTTAGCTGCAACCTACATTGGGCAAACGAAATTGCCTTAGAAATTTGTTCCTGACATCAATTTCTACTGCCGATGATGTTTCACCACTCAAGAACCATTGTGTCATCTTCCAAGAAACCTCACAAATGACAAAAATTAGATTTAAGTTCCATAGTTGAAAATTGCGCAATTAGAGGCTCGCCTCAAGGCTTGCCTTAACACAATTTAACAAAAGGGAAAAAGCAATGAGGCTTATGCCTTACGTTTGACAAATGAGGCTTATGCCGCAATTGGGGTGATGCACGCCTTAAGACACACCTTAGCGTAATTTTAATGCAATTTTGAAGAGTTGTTAGACTAAAAAATTATGGTTTAAGAAACTTTAAAATTTAAAATTATAAACTTTTTGTGTATAATTAACAAAAAACCTCAAAATTTCAGCCACAAGCTGCAGAATCCGTACACTGGTACCCGATCCTACTTTGTCTCCATTATTGCTTAGTTGCTGTCACTTCTCCTTCAACGTCGTTACATATTATTTCATATTTTTCATTAATTTAATAGTTTAATTCAGAGGCTTACGCCTCAAAATGCTTGGAGGCTTGCGCCTTGCATCATAAAAAGAAAATGCCTCAATACCCCATTGCACAATTTCAAACTTTGCCAAGTTTTGATTTTGTTCTCATCCTATCTTTGCTCAACCCATTTGCCTCTAAGATTGCATTCATCATTGGATGATCGCGTCTTCACCTCCAATGTTGTCCAATTCACACACTCCATCCTAGTGACTTTCACTCCTCTAAGCCTTTCGATGATCTCCCAACAAGTTTCATTCCTCCCAACGAGCTACCACTTCATAGATCCAGTCAGGTCCCGCTAATACTCTACCTAAGTTTCATTGCTGCTTCATCCCTGCGCAATTCGCTAGATTTTCCAAGCCTTGTCATGTCATGAACCCCTACACCATGCTAGATCCGTGTCACCACCTCGCCATGCTGTCATGCTAGCTTGTCTTCCCCACAACTAGATATGACATTCCTTCAATATCGTAGTTCAATCCCAAATCTTGCTGGTGCCATTCCTTCTTCTGTTGCATCAACTGCACCTGTTTGTCACACAATCAACCACAGATCTAATCAATTCTAACTCCGACAGTCATTTTCAATAGATCCACATCATTATCTCCATTCATATACTATTCGTCAAAATTGTCGCCGCCCTCTGACCTCACTGACTTGCTGATACCTCAACCAACTCAGATCTCATTATAATTTATTATTCTTTTTTTCTACTTTTTGTTTGCTTGACCTTGAGGGTAAGTACATTTTGATGGGATAGATGGTGATAGGATAATGTGAGTAAAATAAATATATTAGCATTCGAGTTAGGTTAGGGTTATTAAATACATAATATGTAAGTAGGGAATCTTGATTAGACTTGTGCAACTATAAATAGTCTCTATTTGGGGACATTAACATGAATGAAAAATTTGTTAAATCTTCTCTTATATCTCCTTTCTTTTGGAATTGTCAGTGAGTTTGAAGTTGCCATTATTCGATGAACAGTCAAAACTTAGCACTCTGATTGCTATACCTATTCTAAAACTTTGCTCCCAACTACAGCATGACACAACTAGAATTTGGGAATTAATTGAACTTCAACAGAAGATCACCACAGATTCTACAGCCTTCCCAAAATATACAATCCAGGACAAGCTTGTTCGAAAAGATGGGATTATGGTGGCAAAAGCATCTACTCATAAATAAGAGATACTGAAGTAATATCTTTCAAGCTTAATAGGTGGGCGTGATGGCTACTAGAAAACTCTATGATGAATCAAAGACTCTTTTGGCATCAGTTAGTCGAGGACATCTACCAATTTGTTAAGTGATTAAGTACCAGCAGGCTTACTACAATCAATTACCTTCATCAAGGATATTTGTTGATTACATGGACCCCAAAGACAATTATCTCTGATAGGGATCAGATTTTCATGAGTCGCTTTTGGAAAGCATTATTCAAAGAGATGGGCGCCAAACTTGTCTTTATTATGAGACATCATCTTGAGAATGATGGACATACGGAAGTGACAAATCGCAGTTTAAGGCAATACTTGTTTTGTTTCGTCATGGATAATCCCGACCTTTGGTTCAAATTTCTTCCATGGGCAGAATATTCATATAATACATCTTAACACTCCTTAATTGGAATGTCATAATTTCAACCACTATATAGCCGCTGGTGGTCAGCAATACCATCTTATGTTGGCAATACCTCCATAATTGAAGCACTCTATAGCTGGCTTCAACAAAGAGATGAAATTCACATAAGTTTTAGTTAACACCTACTACATTCACATGAAGTCTTATGTTTACAAACATAGCCGTGAACTTGAATTTGTGGTCAACACCTAAGTGCTACATCACTGCTACTCCAAGCTATCCAAACATTATTTTGGACTATTTTTTTATCATTGAGAGGATAGATCCAGTTGCATGTCGTTCTCCTAAATCCATCTTGATTTGCACACCTCCTTATTGAAACCTTACACAAAAACATTTCTTTACATGCCTGTACCCATACGATGTCACCCAACTCTTAGCTTAATCACCCAATCATACATACCTTATCAATTCTTCGGTGGCGACATATATTGCTCAACAATGAACCACAACAACAACTGATAGTTCAGTTGATAGGACTTACACTAGAAAAACAGTCTTAGTTGAACGAGGGGAAATTTGTGCCAGTTACCCTAATCTGGACCTTGATGGCATGGTTAATTTTTGAAGTGAGGACGTAATTGTTTTGATAGATGCTGTGGAGGAAGTCTCAACAAATCACGATGAAGGGTAGGAAGAGACAAATCATCATCCTAGGTGAGAACAATAATGACATCTTGCGTGGTTTGATGACTTCCACAGTGGCAGTTGAATTCCTTAGGGAAAATTTGGTGTTGTTTCTTCTGATGAAATTAAAATTAGTTGAGGAATTTTGTAAGTGGCCTCTTGGCATTCAGTTAACAAGTTAGTTATGATGGTGCAGGATTCTTTGCTCCATTTTCCTTTGCAATGATGCTTTAGATAAAGTTGGAAAAAGGGTATAATTGGTCTGGAGCGAGCTCTTAACTATTTTAATGAAAGATGATAAACCTTTTTAGTCCTGGGTTTTCTCATTATCTTGCTCCTTCATCTTCTATTTGTTCAGTCTTTCTTATCTGTAAATTATTCTGTTTTCCTTTTCAGCAAGCTTGATGGCAAGCATTCGACAATGGCTCCTTAATCCTGATTCCCTGCGTTTTAATTTCCATTTTATTAACTAATCCATTTTTCTTTTCCTAAACTACACTTGAATAAGAAGTATGTTCGAAGATGATTGAGAAGCCTGATAGCCAAATTCATTATTTGGGTGATATCTATCTTTTTTCTACTCCCTGGGTTTGGTTTGATCACTGAAGACGAAATTGAAAGGGTTGTAATAGGAATTATATGTTCCTGGCTTATGGTCATCAAAATTTTATAATAAGTTAAGTTATGAATTCTGGTTTGATCATCTAAGATAGTATTCTTAACTGTAAAAACTGCAAAAATGATTTCCCTAGAAATTAGTTAAAATTTTTTTTTTCTAGCTGCCTATATCTACAATGATGTGGATTGAGTTAGATAAATAGGTTTATTTTGGAATAAGAAGCTTTGTGGGATAGAACCTTGCCGTAAGACCCATAAAAATCTTCCATCTTTCTCCGGTGATGAAAATATCAAGTTTTTTATTTCTAAATATGTAGGCTCCTCTTGGCCATATTGACTTTATGCATTCATTTACTCAATTGTTCATTATTGACAAAAGAAACAGGTCATGTTTGGTTTGTTATTGTATGTGGATTGCCACTATTTTTTAGTTTTACATCTAAAACTTATGTGCAGATGAACATTCACTCCATACCTCTGTAATATGATTATTCTATGTCAGGACTGGAGCTCATGCTCGGTGGGCTGTAAATTTGGAGTTGCAGCTGATAATAAACCCGATGCTGCACTTGGGTTGCCTCGAGATCCAAATATAGCTGCTGTATTGCGCTCAATGGAATCATCTCACTACTATGCTGAGAATAACATTGACCATGCACGACGGTAGGTGTCGGTGAGAATTATTTATTTTTTATAATAGATTTTATCATTTTTTTTTGTTTTAACATTTTGGAACTATATACCATCACTGTATGGAACTCAGCTTAGCTTTTAGTTTCTTTTAAGAATATTTTGTGTTTTCAATGAACCATATAGAATAGAAAACAATTTATTAGCTCTGGTGAACTTAGTAATTCATTCTCAAACAAGCTAGTGGTCGACGAGGCATTAGCTTGGTCTGCAACCCTACCCCAAGTAGACTTATTGAAAACTGTCCCAAATAGAGAAACCTAATGTCATGGGAGGAGACACTGTAGCATCCCATCTAAAGTTGTTGGAAAGAGCTCAGCTAGACTAACGTAATTAAGGGGAAGCCTCCATTGCATTGTTGTACCAGCTTCTGGGTCTGTCTTGTTAGGGGTGACATACTTTCTATCTTTATTCGCATTCATATGTGCTCATTTTTATGTTATCTATTCCAAAAGATTCAAAAATAAATTGTTCTTAAGATTTCACAGATTCAATAGCTCGTTTCAGATTATATGTCTCAATGAGAAGAATTGATCCATGTACAATTGCAGGAAACTGTTACTTGTTTCCTTTGGGTCTGTTCAATAGGCAATGAACTTTCTCGGTATTGTTTTCATTAATCTTTCTACAAAATTTTGATTTTTCACCACTAATCTATTGTGTTATAATATATTCAGATTGCCAACATGAGATGTTGTTGGTGGTGTTTTTTCTATCCATCACTGTTTGCTGCCACCACCAAGCCGAATCCATTTGACCTGCTAGAGTTACCCAGGGGCATCTATTGTGCAAGCAAAATTTGATTTTTAAGTGGTGCGATTTCTCATATTTGTTGTGGATATTTCAATTTTTTATGGAACCAAAATAGCCTAAAAAATCTATAAATATGGCTAATTTCAATTCATTTAGCATTTTATTACAACAACAACAACAACATCAAGCCTTTATCCCACTACGTGGGGTCGGCTACATGAATCCTTTTTCTCCATTGTGTCCTATTAAAAGTCAAATTCTCGTTTAAATCTAATAAAGAAAGGTCATTCCTAATATTTTCTAACCAGGTCTTTTTAGGTCTACCCCTACCTTTCTTAACAAAAGTCAAATCTAATACCTCTACTCTCCTAACCGAGTCATCGCAAGGCCGCCGTTTTATGTGACCAAACCATCTAAGGCGACTTTCTCTAATCTTATCTTCTACTGGAGCTACTCCAACCTTTTCACGTATATGCTCATTTCGTATCCTATCTCTAAGGGTAAAGCCACTCATCCACCTGAGCATCCTCATCTCTGCCACACTTAACTTAGTATTATGCTTCTCTTTTAAAGGCCAACATTCAGCACCATAAAGCATTGCAGGCCTCACTACCATCTTATAGAATTTTCCCTTAAGTTTGAGGGGTACATTTCTATCACATAACAAGCCCGGTGCATTCCTCCACTTCAACCATCCAACTTCAATTCTGCTGATAATATCCCCATCTATTTCACCATCACTCTGAACAATAGATCCAAGATATCTAAAACGTGTACTCTTATTAATGACTTGATCGCCCAAAGTCACAAACCCCTCACTAGGTCTATTACTACTAAAATTACACTCCATATATTCCGTTTTAGATCTACTCAAGCGAAAACCTTTAGACTCTAAGGTTGACCTCCATAATTCAAGTTTACCTTCAACTCCCTCTCTAGTCTTATCAACAAGAAGAATATCATCAGCAAAAAGCATACACCAAGGTACATCCTCTTGCAAATGTCTAGTGAGAACATCCATGACTACTCATTTAGCATTTTATTCTCTATGAAAAAATCTCTAGAGAAATTCTTTATATGATATTTATGGATTAAACATTACTTTTCAACATTTTATAAATCTTGTATACCACCACTGCATAAGCATATATGAATTTATCATTCTCTAGTCCTCCTAATTCTTGGCTCACTCATATTAGAAGATCAAACGAGGCTCGTCTCCTATTCACAATCGTCCTACTGCTGCAATGGCTATGTCTAGTGAACTTCATTTGTAAGTGTTGAGGCACTCATTCTGTTTGAAAATGTGCAACACTCTTCCATCCACGACCATCCCACCATCCCACCTCCACTATAGTTGTCTTAGATGCATTATATACAACATCAATGATGGTTTACCTACCATTATCTGAAGGCAAACGATTCTCAAAATTTGTCCATGACCATCCTAATTGCAGGATATCCGAGTTAGATGTACCACATATAATGATAAATGATATTATTGCTCACCACCATTTGAAGGTTGGATGATGTTTGTTATGCATTTGCACAGCCAGCTCAGTAGAGGAGGCTTCGTTCGCAAACCTCGCAGACGAAAAGAGGAATTTTTGATGGGGTTGTAATGGAGTGGTAAAATAGATAAAAGGAGAATTTTATGTGGTATATCTGTAAATACAAAAGTTTAGGTGTTGAATAAGTAGTTACAATAGTTTGAAGTGTTATGTATGTAAAAATCCCTATAATTTAACTTTTATTTTATTTTAGATATGTGGGATTGAGGTTTCAAATGATCGTAAGCTCTTATGGCTAATAATAGGGGTGTCAAAATGGGTTTTCAGGTCAGATTTAGGTCGAACCCGGAATTGACTTGAGTTTAAATGGGTTAACCTAAACCTGACCCAGTTTTATAAATGAGTCAAAAATTCAGACTCTAACTCGACCTGTCGGGTTATCGGGTTGACCCGACCCGACTTATTAGGTTACCGGGTTGACCCGACCTGACATGCGAACCCAAAAACGAGTGCGATACGATAGAGTATGGGTGCAGGATCACGCTGTGCAGGCGAGGCGAGCTGAGTGCTGTGTGGGCAGGGGTCTATACGCAAGGTGAGTGCGGGAGGATCACAGACTGCAGATGGGGTTTGGATGTGAGGCTAGCGCGCCAGGGCGGTGCGGAGTCTGGATGTGAGGTGAACGTGCCATCACAGTGCAGAGTCTGGCCGTTTGGGTGTGGACTGCGGAGTCCGGAATCGGGGCGAGCGCGGTGCACTACTGCACTATGCAGGCGAGGTTGATCCTATCCCGAATAGCAGACTACGATGAAGTCCGAATGTGAGGCGAGACTCGGGTTGATTTCAGGTTTCAGGGTCAACTCGAACCCAACCCAATTTTACAAACGGGTCAGAAATTAAAATTTGAACTCGACCCGATTGACCCAAATCCAAATTTTTTTGGGTTGGGTTCGGGTCAAGTTTTGGGTCGTGTCAAATATTGAGACCCCTAGCTAATAATATCTTAATTTCAATACTTCAGAACACTTTTGATTGAGGACACCATATGTACTTTGGATTGATGGTGGTTAAGCTTAGTTTAAAGATAATGTGGATATAATTTATGCATATTATTAATATGCTTAGTACCTTACTCAACACTCAAAAGAACAAATAAATAATGAGGATTTATAAATCCAACCCTAAGATCTGTATGATGCAACATTGACTATTTTTTTGAAGTATTTGTTGATTGATTAGAGATTTTTTTAATTATAATAAGATTAAGTTAAGGATCTATATTTAGCTTATATCTTTTTGTATTAGTTGTGAAGATACTTACAAAAGATATTTATAATGATGTATATTTTTGATAGATAATTTAGTTCTAATTGGTGAAATGTTTATTAAAATAAGTAAGAGGTAAAAAGCAAAAACATTGTTAAGTATTTAGAAGATAAAGGGATTAGTTATTGACAGTGGCGGAGCAGAAAACTTCTTATAGAGAGGGCCCAATTTAATTTTTTTAAAAAATCCCTTAGCTTTTTCCATTTGGGCTTGGGACAAGCATTTACAGTTTTAATTTTAAAAAAAGATAAAATACTAAATATAAGATGAAAAAACTTACAATTTATAGCGTATGTTCTTCATATTCTGAAAAAGTTGAATAATAATATCATTATCAATACAATCTAATATTTTTTTTTCAATATAAACAAATAAAGTATCATTCATCAATTTATCTCAATTCTATTTTGCAGTCAATTTTTTATGATAGTCATTGCAGAAAAATGTTTTTTCAACTCTTGTTGTTGTAATGAGTAACACTAATGCCAGTTTTAATAGGAAAAATACAGGAATATATAATTTCTTTTCTACTCTGAATTATTTTTTCAATAAGACTTTCAATATATTTTAATAGTAAAAATTATACATTAGACTACATATTTATAATATAAGTTTCCAACTGATTATCAAGAATTATCAAATCTGAATGAGTAATGTCTGATTAGGACAAGGTCTTTTTGGCCATTTTTGGATGGAGCTATTCAAGATGCAAGGGACTATCTTGAAGCGGAGTACTGCTTACCGCCCTCAGACAGATGGCCAAACGGAGGTGGTAAATCGCAGTTTGGACACTTATCTTTATTTCCTTGCCTTGGATACCCCAAAGATGTGGGCCAAATGGCTAGCTTGGGCAGAGTACTAGTATAACAATTCATATCATATAGCAGTCCAAACAATACCATTTAAATTCCTATATAGGAGAGATCCCCCTCATTTGCTACATTATGGGCATGCCAGCACACCAATGTCATTTGTGGAGCAACATTTGGGAGAAGGGGACCGGATGTTTGGTAGAATTGAAGGGGCATCTACTGCGAGCACAAAAAATGATGAAGAAGCAGGCACATAGACAAAGGAAGGATGTGCAATTTGAGATTGGAGACAGTTTATATGAAGATCCGACCTTACAGATAGATGACTCTAGCTAGGAAGAGGAATGAGAAGCTTTCCCCTCGATACTTTGGGCCATATGAGGCGTGGAGTGCATTGGTGCGATCGCCTACTTGTTGACTCTAATATTATTGTCGGGATCGAGTCGATCGCGCAAGGTGGGTTTCAAAAGTGAAAGAGCTCAAAATCGCGCAAAGAAAAACTCACCCAACGTGTGTCGATCGAAAACCCAAAATCATTGAGACGACCTCCGTTCGCGAAACGGACAGCGCC